ATATTTATTTTGGTTTTTTTTTAAATTTAGATGATTGCCCCTCACAACAGCGACTCTGGGTGGCTTACAAACATTTAAAAACAATACAAAATATTCCAGACACTCTACAAGAGAAGTAGCTTCCTTTTTAGTCAAGTCCCAATGTGTCATATTACAGACCTCCATCCATCTGGCTAGGAATGTGCATTGAAGTATCATCCCTGAATAAACCTGTCAAATGGACTCACAAGCCGTTGCCAACTGAGGCGTTTTAAAAGTAAAATGTATAAACATTAGTAGAGCCATCTGTTATGTTTAAATTCAGTAGTTTCTAAGGTGAGCTACAGATCTTACATCAAAACCATTGTATAAAGGCATTGTTTTCACCCAAGCCTCAAAGGAAAACATTGATGCATTTTCTGTGTTGAGTTTCCAAAAGCCTGGTAGCAAGAGGGATTTGGATTCTTTCAGGAACAAAATGTCAGAATTCACATAGAAGCTGGCAATAAACTACAGTGTTATGTAAAAGTTTGGGAGCCCTCCTGAATTATCAATCTTTCTGCATAAATATAACCTAAAAAGTTATCTCCACACAAGTCCTGGAACTACTTTTCTGACAATGAGAACAATCAACCAATGGACCAGCTTGCCCTCAGAAGTTGTGGGAGCTTCATCACTGGAGGCTTTCAAGAAGAGATTGGACTGCCATTTGTCAGAAATGGTGTAGGGTCTCCTGTTTGGGTGGGGGGATTGGACTAGATGATCTATGAGGTCCCTTCCAACTCTGTTAATCTAATCTAATCTAAACTAGAAAATGAGAATCCAATTTAAAAAATGAGTCAAACACATTATTCTTAATTCTTATTCACTTATTTTTTTGAGGAGAATAATCCAAAACTACATATTTGTATGTGACAAAAGTATGTGAACCTCTCAGATTATCAGTTCATTTGAAGGGGAAATTAGAATGAAGGGTTTCAATCAATGGGATGATAATCAGGTATGAGTGTAGGAGGTCCTGCCTTATTTAAAGAACAGAATTCTGGGTAATCACTATCAAAGTCTGGTCTTCACAATACAGGTGGAATTGTGTCATAAACTGAGGAAGATTTCTGAGAATTTCCAAAAAGCAATTGTTGATCCTTAAGGGTAGGGTTCCTCTCGCACATATGTGCTAGTCGTTTCTGGCTCTAGAAGGCAGTGTTCATCTCTGTTGCAAAGCTGAAGAGCCAGCGCTGTCCGAAGATGTCTCCCTGGTCATGTGGCCAGCATGACTAAATGCCAAAGGCGCATGGAACACTGTTACCTTCCCACCAAAGTGGTCCCTATTTTTCTACTTGCATTTTTACATGCTTTCGAACTGCTAGATTGGCAGAAGCTGGGACAAGTAACGAGAGCTCACTCCATTACGTGGTGCTAGGGATTCAAACCGCCAAACTGCCAACCTTTCTGGTCAACAAGCTCAGCGTCTTAGCTACCGAGCCACTGCCTCCCTTTTGTTGATCCTTACCAGACTGGAAAAGTTTACAAAATAATTTCCAAGGAGTTCAACTCCACCAGTCCACTGTCAGGCAGATTGTGTACAAATGAGGCAATTGTTAGCCTCTTGATTAACCAAGAATATACCAAGAGCAAGACGTGTAATATTTTGGGAAGTCTCAAAGGACCCCAAGGTAACATCTAAGGCAGTGTTTCTCAACCTGTGGTCTGCGAACTCTTGGAGAGGATGATGTGATGTTATCACAGGAGGACTATGAAGGCTTGAAGAAATGTTATGACTTAAATCTTGAGTTAAGTCCTGGGGCCCCGTGGCCATGGTCCGTGGCCACAAAAGATATTTAAAGGGGTTCCAGAGTGAAGAAAAAGTTGAGAACCATTGATCTAAGGAACTAAAGGACTCTTGCATTGGTGAATGTCAGTGTTCATGAAATTGTAATCAGGAGAACACAGACTAATAATGGTATGCTTGACAGGGTTGCAAGGAGAAAGCCAGTAAAAAGAGCATGGCTGCCTATCTACAGTTTGTGAAAGACAATGTAGATAAGACAGAATACTATTGGAATAATGTTTGTGGACAGATGAGTCCAAAATAGAACTTTTTGGTCTGGCTGACAAATGTTATTTAGTGAATTTGAAGAGCAGGTTTTAGCCTATAAAGTTCTTTATGATTTGGCACTGGCTTACTTCTAGCAGATGACTATCCCAAAATAATTGTCTTGAGAATCCATGTGACACATATTATGTTGGGAAGCTGCAACAGCTTCTTCTGTACAAACACAGCTTTGAGTTGATTGGGAAGTGCATCAGGAAACATCAGTTTTTGTCAAGTAACTTTCTGCTTCGCCATTTAGACTCCCAGCAACATTTCCAGTAGTGGTAGCAGAAGTAGTAGTATGTGCTTTATCATTTAAAACCCATTATCAGAATTAATAATCATGGGGCCTTGTTTGTCCCAGATCTCTCTTACAGTTCATTACCATTACTAGATTGTTATTGGGCAAAACCAGAGCAATAAGCAGAAACCACTGATCATTCATTGACCCAATAACACAGTTCATCATGAAAATCTCCAGGGTATAAGTCAAGGGTCTTCAAACTTGGCAAGTTTAAGACTTGTGGACTTCAACTCCCAGAGTTCCTGAGCTAACATGATTAGAGGAGGAATTCTGGGAGTTGAAGTCCACAAGTCTTAAAAGCTGTCAAGTTTGAAGGCCCCTGGTATAAGTGAATGCAAGTGGATAGTTAATGCTATAAATGAGTACCTGGCCTCTCTGTATCTGAAGGCAGGAAGCCAAGCTCAACACATCAGAAATGTGATATCTGTAGAGAGATGATGGTCAGTCCATTATGCAAGTGAGGTCAGGGATAACTAGCAGGGAGTCAAGAACAAGAAACCCAGATGATCCCATAAGGTGAAGTCATGGTTGCTAGCAAATTGAACTTCCAAATCATGTACTTATATACTAATTTGGCAGCTACTGTGGGCTTAGAATATCTTTGGCCTTTACCAGACACAGTTCTTCAAGTTCAGGTATTGGCAGTGCTGAGGTTGCCTTCCCATTCCCATTATTTGTGAAGTCTATCCAGTGAAAATTCACAATGAGGATACAAGACTATCTGGAGTCCTGGTAACTTGGAGGTCCTTCCTAAATGCAGGGCTGGGATCGCTATTGTTAGAGATCACAATACTGGACTTGCTTGCTATTTTGCAGCATTTCAGTTGTGATCAGGATGCCCAGAATTATTCAAATCACTTGGTATGATGCATAACAGAAGAAAGCTGCACAAAACAGATCTTATCTGCATGAACTCAGTGCCAGGTGAAAGCTGTCCTTCAGCACTCTTGATGTTTGACATTATATTTTTAGCTTCCAAAGCAATAGGGGTGGCTGTATTAAATTACCTGGTGAGATGCCACAAGAAGGGAAAATGAGATAGCAAGAGAAAAACAATTAATTGGCCTGCTCACCAGACAGCCTCTCTCTGTCATGCTTTGAACTTTCCTCAGTAGGGTTTCTTCTCTTCTGAAGTGAGCCAATTACAACCTTAACTGTGGAAAACTGTAGCAGGTGGAGATGTCATCAGAGCTTACAGCCGGTATGTTGTGTTGCACCTGTGAATGTGTACATTTTAAGATAATTTAACCATCTGTCAACCTATCAGATGTATGTGTGTGCATATTCATACATACATGTACCCAGACATGGTTTACACAAAGATAAGTCCTGTGGCCATATCAAACCATGAAAGATAAATGCCAGGTAGCTGTTTTTGAATGAATATGCAATGACTATATGAAATAGTCTGAACATTTTAATTTGCTGGAGATAGTTTCTCCAAAACCAAGTCTGCATTTTTTTCTCAAAATGTCTTTTTTCTGAACGGGTTTTCCATTTTTCTTCAAATATGCTACTTAATCAGTACATAATATATTGATTTTCACAGTGAAAACTAGGTCTGTGGTGGGCTATTGTCCATTTCCAATGGGAAAGTTAACTCAAATGAAGCTTTGCAGGCAATTTTTATGTTCCCAAGAAAAACTGTGTATTTCGCATCATTTACTTAGTCATGTCTTAATTATTCAGAAATGCTAAGGATCTTTTCTATTTAATTTAGAACAGCTTAGTTTCTTCTGAGAGGATCTTTCAACTGTCACTTCAATGGTACTTTTTAGCCTGAGGCTGTTGATTTTGTTTTCATCTTGACATTTATTATATTTAATTAGTTGTTCTTGGAAGTAGCAAGATAATATGTACACCCACAACATATATGCATATAGAGGCTTCTTTGTGTTATAGAGCTTTTATACTGCCTCATTAAAAGTAATGGATAGATGGATGGATGGATGGATGGATGGATGGATGGATGGATGGATGGATAGAAGGAAGGAAGGAAGGAAGGAAGGAAGGAAGGAAGGAAGGAAGGAAGGAAGGAAGGAAGGAAGGAAGGAAGGAAGGAAGGAAGGAAGGAAAGAAGGATTTCTGACACTCCCTTCCAGCTTCCCACAAGCAAAGTCAATGGGGAAGCCAGCAGGAAGTTGGAAATTGCTTCACCTGCTGCTGCTTTTTTGCCCACCCATGGTCATTCTATTTTTCTATTAAGGTAAGACAGTCTCTGAAACAATAACCCAACTGGGCATGACTTGTCTAGTCTTTCGCAAAATTGTTATGATTTTTGTGTGTTTTAATTACCTTTGATTCCTTTGTGTTTTATTCTCTGAATTTTTATTTCTGCAATTGAAGTTCTGAAGATTTTATCTGAAGGCATAATATTTCTTTCTTAGAAAATGGTAGTGATCATTGACTGAAAGCAGTAAAAGCCAAATTAATTTACTGCAGTTTACTTATTGTTACAAAATAATTGTGTAATTGGTTTAGGTAATTTATTTTTGGCACTGAATTTTAATTTGATTTGATACAGAACAACTTCATACTGGAAGAAAAATTCTTGCATGCAACTCTTGCGTACAGCGCATTTACTGCATTCTCTTTTTTTTGACTAATTTTATTCTTTCCATTTAGTTTTCAGGACTTTATCTGCTGTCATTCTTCACAATCCTTGTTGGCCTTTTGCTGTACTCCTCTACATCCACATACATTGCCCAAGATCCACGGGTGTACAAGCAGTTCCGAAACCCTTCAGGACCTGTTGTAGACTTGCCAGCCACTGGGCAGCTAGAACCTTCAGTAACATACACCAGCCTCGGCCAAGAAACGGAAGAAGAATCTCGTGTCCGTGTTGCCTAAACTCAGGCCCTGCCACCCTCGGTGGAGTTCGTATCACCATTATCTCTGTATCATTCATAGAGAAAGGTATTTTCCAGATGCAGTGACTCTAGTCAGCTGCAAGGTAGCAAATAGGGGAGGTTTATAAAAAAAAACCACCACCACCATTAAAATCTTTCCAAGAATGCTTGACTAGGAGCTGTAATTCACAGCCCTTCACTTGGAGCAGTGCTTTTCAATCTAGAAATATTAATTGAGGTTTCCTTAAGGAGATGTTATGAAATGGCAGGGAAACTTTCCTGAAGGACAGTTTGCCTACCTCAAAGCTTCCATTGGAATGGAACCATTCTGTAGTTGTAGAGGGCATGTTTTAGTTTACGTGGGGGCAAACAGGCTTGGCCAGAGTCATATTTGAACCGAAAATCCATTCTACGATATGCCCTGAGACCCTTTGTAATGTGCTGGAGAAATACAGAAGCAGATTCTGAGGGGAGGGTGGACGGTGGAGGAGAAAGGGAAAAATCACAAGGAAACTGGTGGGCAGGTATCTCCCAGTGTCACTTTGCTAACCTGTATCCGGTAATCTACGATACTGAACCAACAGTACAATATTAAGGCTTCTGAAGAGAATCAATGTGATTTTAAATTGCCCTGATTCAAGTCAAAAGATACTATGCAAAAAGGATTTGGGGATATTTTTTAAAAAAATGTATTTTGCCCAAAGACTGAGTGCTTGGGAACACCGTATCTAACAAATAGGATGGACCTTGTAAGATAATTCTTCATTAAGGTATATTTTTCCTGACCGAACAGTGACCAAAATGACACTGGTAGATTATTTTCCACTGTTATGCATTTTTCATTTAGAAAATAAATAAAGTCCTAAGAAATATTTTTGCGCAGTTTGTCTAGATGGGCTTTAAAAAGAATCTTGATGCAGGTAATGTTGATGGGGAAAAGGGATGAAGTGGGAATTGAATACCAGATGAGAATTGATTGTGGGTGGGTGATCTTCAGTTTTTTTCAACTTCAAGAATTCCCACTGGTCCTTTTACTGAGCTCTTTCCAAAGCGAAACAAAAACAAAAAACAACCCTCCCACACACGCACATACCTTTACCTGGGGAAAAGGACTTCAGAGCAATGTCAAATGCTCCAATCAAGGGGTAAATTCCAGCTGGGGGTCTGGGAATTGACTACTAGTCCCCAAATCCTTGTAAGGAAAATTTTCTCTGCATACAGTTTCCACCAAAACATGGATACTCTTCCTCAGTGACAGTGATAATTTCTGGAAAATGAATGCCAAATTTACATTCAAGTTTCAGTAGCCAGCAAAAAGGAGAGACAATACTGTCCATCTAAAAAAAAAATTGCCTGGCTCTGCTGCTCCTTATCTCCTCTTTCTGACATAATGGAAGAGAAAGAGACAGGCTTTCAACAAGGCCTGTTTAGTGTAAGTTTGAGTAAAGACACAAAAACCTGAATATTTCCAGGATGAATGTGGATGTGTTCACCAATTTCTAATGGAAAGGGACTAGAAACATGGGAAGCAAGAAAACTTGGCAATTAGCACTTAATACAACAAGGGAAATGCCTAGTAGGGCCAAATATACATAGATACTACCAATTTTTGTCCAGTTGAGGTACACAGAATCTATACCCTAGTGCCATTGTGTTCATTCAGCTACCTTAGCTACCTGGTTGCCCATTCTCTGAAGCCTTTCTCAACCTGGGCCCTCCTGATGTGATGGGCAGAATTCTCTCACCTCTAGCCATGCTGCCTAGGAGTTGCACTCCAACGCCTCTTGAAGGGCTGAGGTTGGCAAAGATGGCTTGGAAGAAGTTCTGGGAAGCCATGGATGGACAGCTACCAGTACCCATCTCTATTCTAAGAATAGGTTGAAAAGAAACTTTTTAACCTTTTTTTAAAATATGTGCATAATAGTATAGTCGTCAAACACTGACCTTTGGAATGTTTTTTACAGTAATACTGTGGGCAGCTGAGATTTGCTGATAACATAATTACATTTCCACTTTCAGTGTCTTAACAAGTTTCTTTCTCTTCACAAATTTAGTTGCCACTGAGAAAAAGAAATTGAATATTTGTAGACATTCTGTCCAAGAGAGGAACACAGGAATAGCTGACCTGTGCTGCTCTCATTTACAATCTGATACTGGCTAGATGTGAATTGTTTAGAACTCAGTATATTCAAAGTCGTTATGCTTATTCCATATTTTTTTGGGGGGGAGAGGAAGATCTACATGCATGATGTTTCTTCTGAATCTTTGTCCATTGTTTTTACTTTGAATCAATAATCCTTTCCTGGTTCCAGATGCAATGGCTGCTTAGATCCCTAGTCTTCTAGTACGGATTTGCACATTCCTTTCCTTAGCAAAATTCTTGTGATTGTCACTGCTCAGTGACACATGCATTATGCTCAAACTGGTTAATTAAAGAATAGCTTCATTTCCTGGTTAGGAAAAGTACCCAACTGATTTTTCCTTTGTCTGCAAAATTAATTTAGCAACTCGGCAGTAGGTTTGTTTTCCATAAGAATATTGGCAAAAGTCATTATTTTATCATTATGTATTCAAAAATGTAATCATCTGAATGAAGTTGGTGACACAATGGTTTTCAAGGTGCCATTACTTCCCAACTACTATAGAACTAACCTCATTTGGGTTGGATTAAGTTTACATAATTGGGGCTTTGGCTTAATTATGGCTACAGTTCTTACAAAGAAAAAGAGGCATAGTATACTATGTTCATAGTGCTATAAGCAATACTAGAATATCTCTTGTCTTTTAACATCAGAACGAAGATACTCCTGTGATTTAGGAGCCTTGTAGCTGAACCAGAAACAAAAATGAGAGCCTCTATCTAGTTCTTGAAAGAAAATTGGGATAACTGTTTGTTTCAACAATAGGAAAGCTTTTTGTATTATGTTGTTAGAATGGAAAAATCAAACAACTTCTTTAAAAACTTACTCTTCTGCACAGTTGATCACATCTACTAGGGCTGTGCACATTTGAAAAATGAATCAGAACAAATATTTTGGATCTCCTGTGGTATGAATACAGCCTCTAGCTGCTCTTCATTAGAGCAAACCTGATTGGCTGGTTTCAGGTTTCTGAATTAGCTTGGAAAAAAGATACACCTGTTTCTTTTTAGATGCACTAATTTAATTACTTGATTCATTAAGACAGCAGGATCTTTTTTTAGACTAATTCAGAAGCCTGAGAAAACATATGTTTGTTTTAATAAGTGGCAGAGAGCTGTTGTGATTGCAAATCTGAAGCATTTTTTCCTAATAATATTTGAAGCATTCCCAGTTTTATAAAAATATTATTTTACCTACCTCAGGAGAAAAAGAACAAAGAGATGAGACTACAGAGGTACTGAATATTTCCTAAGTGAGCTGAATTTGCCAAGGAGCCTCTTTTTTATAGTCTTACTACCGAAAGCTTGCAGTATACAGTACAATCAAAGTAAGCGACTTCATTTTTATGTGTGAAAATTATATTCACGAAGTCCATTCTTTTAAATACTTACCTTCATCATAATCCTAATTCCTCTGAGAGCTGCATGATATGACACCATCATGCATTGTTCCATTTTAGAATTCCAATATTCCAATCTTTGGTAGTACAAATCTAGGGATTTGCACAACTTGAAAATATGTTTTCTTTCAAACTCAAAACAAATAATTATGTTCAAGTAGTTCTACTGAACCATTTTGAACTGACACTGAAGAAGAGGAAAAAAATCTGAAACATATGGTTCTTCTGACTTTCAGCCCAAACAAAATTCAAAGAAACCCCATAGTGATTTTTTTTTTACAGGACAAAGAGAATCAGAGAGGTATACATTGAGTTCTCTCTTCCATGTCCTCTGTGTGGCCAATGCACAGCACTCTCTTTCTTCTTCCTATCTCTCTTCAGCCCACAGCTAATATCCTGCCCTCATCCCAATATTCCCAGTGCTTTCCCTTTTCCTTCCCCCTCCAGCTATCTCTAATGTTTGCATATGCTGCTGCCAGAAAAATCCCTCAGCCTTGATTTTTTTCCCTATTCTTAAATTATCCGATCAATTCTGCCCAGAGCAACCATGTTCAGTCCATACCCAGAATAAAACTGTCCCATTTTCTTTCCTCTACCTTGACCAAAACATTTGAAATACATGATATGGTCCCAGCATAAACCATATGAACTAAGCTGCTTCATGTGCAGAACAATATGCATAGGGAGCATTTTATGCACTCCTCTTTACAATCGAATTCCTTCAGTTAGCAACCCTGCACATTCTAGCATCAACTCTCACCAATGGTGAGAAATTATGGGAACTGTTTAACACATCTAGAGGTATGTTTGCTCACACTGATTCACCTATTTTATTGTTCATGTGCCCCCCCATTGGTTTTCTGTGCAAAGAAGAATCCAACTATCTTGACAGCTTTTCTCAACCAGCTGCTCTCCAAACATAAAGCTAGAAATTCCACAAACTGACCATTTTAGGTAGGAATCCTGGGAGATACAGTCCCAGTATATCTGGGAGATGCCAGGTTGGGTCATTTTGAGGTAACTGGGTAGAAGCAAGAGCCATTTGCTTAACCAATGCTACCAAGTGGCCTTTTTTCCTGTTTCATTGTATGTATGCAAATCAAATTATTAAGACTATTTTGTAAGTTATTCTATGACAAAGATTCTGTACTACTTTTTGCAACAGTCTTTCACAAGTTGGGTGACATATACTGCTGTGCAGAGGAGAGGGGTAGAATTAGAAATCTCAACTATCAAATAGTTGTGCAAAATTGCCATTTCTTTTAGAATCAGAATGTTACTGCCAGGTGATCATTTATATACTGTATTTAGAGCACATGTTATTCCTGAGGGGGTTCATGAGTTCCAGGCACTGCTTAAATATCACCGATATAATAACTTCATTGTGGCTTAAATATTGGCTCAACTCATTGTATCAAGGCTCTCTTGATAAATGTAGGCTTTAATTCTGAATAGGCTTGGATGTATCTAAAGAACAGGGTTTAAGTGTGTTCAGGAGCCTTAACTGTTTTCTCAGGTTTTAAAAATCAGAAGTCAGCTGATGAGCATTGTCATCTCCCAGTCCTTTTTGCTACCTTTTATACCAATTAAATACCTTTCTCTTGAGTCTGTGGTCCCATGCTTGAACTTAATGACTTTTTGAAGAACTTATGCCTTTATTTTCTTGCTTAAGCATTTGTCTTTCATAACTTTTGAGGACTTTTATTTATAGTATTTATTTTGTAAGCCAAATGTTGTCGTAGGTTCTCTTTTAAAAATAGCTCATTCTTATGACCCTAATTTGTAGATTACTTTCCGTAGAAGCAACCTGGATGAGAGGCATCACTCAGTTCACTCAAAAGTGGTCTTACTGAAATAGAGCATTGCAAGTTGCAATCTTTCAAAGGCTGGATAACCACATTGAGAGCTTGATCTCTCCCCCCCCCAAATAATAATAATTATTTTTTGCATGGGGCAAGGAGAATAGACAATGGAGGTAGAAGACTGGAATGTTTAACAATGGAAGCTGCCTTATATTAAATC